TTTTGACAAAGAAGCTAAAATTATACAATGGAAAAAAGAAAGCATCTTTAACAAACGGTGCTGGCATAACTGGATGCTGACATGGAGAAGATTGCAGATAGATCCATATCTATCACCATGCACAAATGGATCAAAGACCTCAACATAAATCCAGCCACACTAAACCTCCTAAAAGAGAAAGTGGGAGCTACCCTTGAATGAATTGGTGTAGGAGACCATTTCCTGAACATAGTGCCATTAGCACAGACACTGAGATCAACAACTAATAAATGGAACTTTCAGAAACTGAGAAGCTTCTGTAAGGCAAAGGACACAGTCAACAAGACAAAATGTCAGCCAATAGGATGGGAACAGATCTTCACCAACCCCACATCTAACAGAGGGCTGATTTCCAAAACATATAAAGAACTCAAGAAGCTAGTCACCAAAATACCAAATAATCCAGCTATAAAGTGGGGTACAGAACTAAATAGAGAAGTCTCAATAGAGGAATCTTAAATGGCTGAAAGACACTTAAGAAAGTGCTCAACATCCTTAGCCATCAGGGAAATATAGATCAAAACAACTCTGAGATACCATTTTACTACTGTCAGAATGGCTAAAATCAAAGCTACCAATGACAGTTTAATGCTGGAGAAGATGTGGAGAAAGGGGAACATTCCTCCATTGCTGGTGGGAGTGTAAACTTGTACAGTCATTTTGGAAATCAGTATGGCAGTTTCTCAGGAAAATGGGAGTCAGTGTACCTCAAGATCCAGCAATTCCACTCTTAGGTATATACTCAAAGATGCACATTCATACAACAAGGACATCTGTTCAACTATGTTCATAGCAGAATTATTTGTAATAGCCAGAACCTAGAAGTAACCTAGATCCCCTCAACTGAAGAATGGATAAAGAAAATGTGGTACATTTACACAATGGAGTACTACTCAGTGAAAAAAAAAACAATGAAATCTTGAAATTCGAAGGCACTAGAAGAAACCATCCTGAGTGAGGGAACCCAGTCATAGAAGACAAGTATGATATTCTCTCACTCATATATGGATACTAGATATAGAGCAAAGAAGTAGCAGCTACAATCCACACCTCCAGAGAAGCTAAGAAAGAAGGAGGACCCTAAGAGAGACAGACATAATCTCCCAGAGAAGGAGAAAGTGACAAGAGCTCCTGAACAAATTGGAAGCACTAGGGAAGGGGGAAGGAGAGGGAAGTAAAAAAAAAGGGGGGGGAAGAAAAGAAAACAAATCAGCACAAAATCAACAAAATGACAGGAATTAATATACATCTTTTCAATAGTAAGTCTGAATTTTAGGGACTCAATTACCCAATAAAGACACAGACTAAAAAGTATGATTAGAGAACAGGATCAATGGGGGCTGGGTAGTTGGCTCAGCGGATACGAGCATTGCTGTTCTTGAAGAGGATGGAGTTTCAGTCCCCTGCACCTACATAGTGGTTCACAACAGTCTAACTCCATTGCCGGGGAGATCTGGCATCCTTTTCTGGACTCTGCAGGCATAAGGCATGTACATATGTGTGTGCATGCAGGCAGGCAGAACACCCATGTAATAATGGTAAATATCACCTTTGGGTAAAAGGATGACAAAAGATATTCCAAGCAAATGGAAGTAAGAAACAAGCAGTATGGCCATTCTAATATCTGACAAAATAGTTTTCATACCATTACTAGTTGGGGGAGCCAAGAAAAGAAACCATATTTTTTCATTAAAGAAAAAAAACCCAACCAACAGGACATTGCAAGCCTAGACATATATACATCAAACATAGGGACACCCAATTCATAAAAGAAGCACATGTAGATCTAAAATCACAGATTGACATAGTGATTACAGGGTGATTTCAATAGCCCACTCTCACCAATAGCCATCTAGAATTAAAATAAATATAGAATGTCTGGAGTTAAATGACAGCATGAACTAGATGGACCTAGTTATGTTAGCATAACTACAGAATATATCACACAAAGACTAAATAATATTCATTCTTTTTATCTATCCACAAAACTTTCTCCCAAATTTATCACGTATTAAACATAAAGTGAGTCTCAACAAATACAGGAAAATTAAAACAACATCCGCATTCCTCTTTACTTCAAAGGAAGAAATCCAGACACCAACAGCAGTAGGAATTGCAGAAAGCACATAAACTCAAAAAGATAAACAACATGCTATGGTTAGCTAATCTGGTGAAGAAAGAAATCAAGAAGAAAAAGTTTAAATTTTTAGAATTGAATGAGAATGAAAACACAATATACCAAATCTATGGGACCTCTTCAAGGCAGTCATAAAAGAAAAGGTGTATGGCATTAAGTGCCTACGTCAATAATTTTGAGAGAACTCAACTTAAGAACCTAATGATGCACGCTGAAGCCTTATAAAACAAGAAAAAAATCCACCTCCCAAAAGCAGACAGGCAGGGATAATCAAAACCAGGGTCAAAGTGAAATACAGACAAAGAAAAATATACAACATAAAAATTGATGAAAAAGAATTGACTCCCTGAAATGATGAACAAGACTGAATAAACTTTAGCCAAATTAAATAAGAAAGGATCCAAATAAAATTGGAGATGAAAAGACATCATAGCAGACACCAAAGAAATTCAGAGAATCATAAGGACAAATACATATATTTGGACTACATATATATATATATGTACTACTAAAGCTAAATCAAGATGAAATAAATCATTTATAATAGACCAGAGCATCCAGTGAGATAGAAGCATTAATTGAAAATCTCCCAACAAAAAAAAAAGAAAAAGCAAAAACCCAGGGCCAGATGGTTTCAACACAATTCTACTGGACCTTCAAAAAACTAACAACAAGTTCCCCTAAATTATTCCATAAAACAGAAAATTAAGGAACATTTCTGAAATCTTTTTAAAAGGATATTATTACACTGACACCAAAACCAGACAAAGATCCAACAAGAAAGAAAACTGTAGGTCAGTATGTTTGATGAAGATGGGTGCAAAAATTATCAATAAAAAAAAACAACAACCTGCAAACAGGACAGATTTTAGGTCAAATGTTTTGTGGCGGGGTTGATGTCTCAGTCCCTCTGCTGGGAGCCTTGCCTGGCTACAGAAGGCAGCCAATTCCAGCTCCCTATCCCCCCAATTACTAGGAGAGTTCACTAAGGTCACTTTCTCATAGATTCCAAGAGTAATGATAGTGTAGAACTTCGCGGGAGTGGCCAACCAATGACTGGTCCAACTTGAGGCCCATGCAGCGAGAGGGAGTCCACGTCTGACACTGACTGGTTGGCCAGGAATCAGAGGCTGGACAACCCAGAGACCCTGGACAGAACCAAACACAACTGGCAAAACAAACAAAAAGTCAATGAAATGATTCCTAATGATACCTGTCTATCCTCATAGATCAGTGCCTAGCTCAATAGTCATCAGAGAAACATCCAGCAACTGATGGGAGCAGATACAGACATCCACAGCCAAACACTAGGAGGAGCCATGGGAAACCCACAGAAGAGGGAAAGGGAAGGATTTTAGGAGTCAGAGGTTTGAGCACAGCCCACAGAATCAACTACGCATGGCTTATGAGGGCTCACAGAGACTGAAGTGACAAGTCCTCTGCATATATATTATAGGTGTGTAGCTTGGTGTTCTTTTGGGACTCCCAACAGTGGGAGTGGGGGGTGTCTCTGACTCTTTTGTCTGCTCTTGAGATCCTTTTCCTACTAATGGCTTGCCTCATTCAGCCTTGATATGAGGATTTGTGACTAGTCCCAGACACAAAGTCCCACCCTAGCTAAGGAGCTACTGGAAACTGGTAGTTGCTGAGAGAGGGAGAGTCAGTTTTCTTTAGGCTTCTGGTAGGTTGACCATGTTCCAGTAGATTCCTACACATCCAAGAGTATATTGGCAGCACAAATTATACTTGATGGGTTTTAAAAAAATAAAAAAGAGTACACAGCGTTGTATGGATAGGGAAGGGGGCATAGATGCGGGAGGACACAGGGAAGGGGTGAATATGATCAAAATCCAAGATATGAAATTCTCAAAGAACTAATACAAATAAAAAATAAATTTGACTCAAGTATGAAAAAGGACATACATATATGTGAGAATAACCATGGTTAAAAGACCTAAAATTATTAACATGGTAAGGGAATTATAATAACTTTTTTTTTGATTTTTCGAGACAGGATTTTTCTGTATTGTTTTGGAGGCTGTCCTGGAACTAGCTCTGTAGACCAGGCTGGCCTTGAACACACAGAGATCCGCCTGCCTCTACCTCCTGAGTGCTGGGATTAAAGGCATGCGCCACCAACGCCCGGCTATAATAACTTTTATTTAGCTTGTTTTTCATGCTTTCCATTTTCCAATTTTTTTGTGGGGCAGGGGGAACAGGGTTTCTCTGTGTAGCTCTGACAGTCCTAGAACTCACTTTGTAGACCAGCTTGGCCTTGAATTCACAGATATATCTGCCTGCCTTTGCTTCCTGAGTGCTGGCATTAAAGGTGTGTGCCACCACTTCCCAGCCTTTTCAAACTTTTTTATGAGCATGGATTACCTTCACATCAAGAGGAACATTATTCCAGTTATATTGCTTTGAGCTGTTGACTTAGGTAATTAAGTTCCCAGCTAGAGTTATTTAATACAATTCTATCTTTTGAAATTTCAGAGGAAATTTAGCGATGGCTTTGATTCCATCAAAGGATGAGAAATAGAGCCAGTTGGAAGAAGTATTCGGAAGCAGAACCTTAACTCCTTCTGGTTCTATGCTGCCTTTTAAAACAGCTGTCAGCAGCAGTGATTCAAATGGGATGGAGAGATTGCCCAAAGGAAATGTTATGTGGAGAAAGGCTTGCCTGGAGTACCTTCCATTGACATTCAGAGTCTGAAACAAGGTGCCATGTTTTGTAATATAGCCTTAAAAAATTCTACTAAAATAATTTCCTATGCTTTTACATGTCCTTTGAGTTTATGTTTGTAATTGTTACTATATTTTCAGTAGAATCACACCCTAACCTGGGGGGTTAATTTGCATTCCTGACGGTTTGCTTTTCTTTCAAAGGATTGTCTCCCTTAATTGATCAGTGCACACAAAGTAAGAACATTTAATACATTTAGAGGCATTTCTACTTAGAACATTTAAATAATTTTTAATTTATTGGTATTTAATTGATTTAAAAATAACTATTTTTAAATAAGTATTTGAGTAGCTACTCTGAAGTTTTGCTGTGGGGGGAGACACATTTATCTGAGCTTCTGTTGAATCTTGCCTTTGAAGCCACCTTTTCATTTTGAATCTCAGGAACCCAAACTAGCCCTCCTCCTTCCAGTTAAAACGTGTGCTTTGATACCTCATTCTTTCGGAGAGAAACATAAATTCCTCCTCCTTACGTTCTCAGGGTTTATGAGTAAACATCCCGACTTTACCTCCTGGACAGATGTGGTTACTCTTAAAATGCTTGGACCTTTGGGGATTAGGTCTGCATCCGGTGGGAACACTACACTTTTCTCTTCGTGCGGCTTGTCTTCCCGCTCAGCAGGCCCTGGTAAACGCTGTGGGGCTTCATTTTCTTCTATTATCTGCAGGGTGTGGATAGGGGGCAGCTGGGTGTCTTCTGGTGTGGAGTCATCGCTTTCATGAAGAGCAGGCTTTGAGAGGTCCTCGTCCTGGTTCAACAGTTTCAAAACTGGTATTGCCAGACCTTCCTTATCACCCTTGTCCACAAACTACAAAAAGAAAAGAAAAGCAAGAAAAAAACTTAATCATTATTCACTAATGAGCATTAAAAGTTAATAAATCAAGCCGGGCATTGGTGGCGCACACCTTTAATCCCAGCACTCAGGAGGCAGAGGCAGGCGGATCTCTGTGAGTTCGAGGCCACCCTGGTCTACAGAGTGAGTTCCAGGACAGCCTCCAAAACAATACAGAGAAAATCTGTCTCGAAAAACAACAGAAAAAGTTAATAAATCAAAAATCCCTTGTATGTTTGTCCTTTATATACTACTATTGACATTTGTAAGTTAGGACATTCCTGAATAAGGCATGGAGAAATCTTATACTTGCCTGAGACTATTATCCACAACATGAAAAGCAGTGGTTTATGCAGCAGTGGTTTGCATATGTCTGGACTGCATAAATGGGTGACATGTTAAGGAACCAGTGTCATGAAACAATGGAAACTTTAGTACCAAAATACTACAAAGGGCAGTATTACAACCACCTCAAAAAATAAAGCAAAATATGCAAAGAAAGGGAACATGAAGGCTAGCTTCTTTAGCTAAGTAAATTCCATGTTATATAAAAGTCTCTATCTTGCTTCCCCAACTCCTTTCCCTGACTTGGGGGAATTGTACATGCTGATTCTTCAGCTGTTACTTGGGAGCCACTGGACCTGGCGAGAACAATGAAGTAGCATCAAAAAGCAGAGACCAAGTTTTTATTCTTTACTGGTCTACATGAGAATTCATTACTTAATAATGAAAAACTCTATTGCATTAATTCCACCTTTTCCTGATTTCTATTATGAAATGTGTACTGTTATTATTACATGGCCAATGCTCACAGCATGGTGAACACTTGCTTTTCAGAGTTTATGCAGAACTTCACGGGTTTTCCTCTTTTCTTCAATGACACCTTTAACTCCTCTTCCTTGCCGTACACTCTAAACTGTTACTGTTTTCCTCGAGTCTGTTTCCATAGAGTAATTTAACTTAAAAATATCTGAGTATGATATTGTCATAACAAAAGTAACTGGATAACTTCAGTGATGCTTAGTTAATTTTCACCTGTAATTATTCTTTTTTTTTTTAGGTTAGAAACAATCTTGTCAATCCCAGCTCCCTCTCTCTCGCCTCCTCCCCCTCTCTCCCCACCAGATTCCCCACCCAATCTCCATTCTGATCCCCAAGGAGGGTGAGGCCCTCCATGGTGGATTTCCAGTGACTGTCATTTCATCCAGGGCAGGGCCTAGGCCCTCCACCAAGAGTCCCAGCTGAGAGAACATCCCATATTGTGGCATGGACACTCTAAGTCTATTTGTACACCAGGGATAAATTCTACCCAAGGCCCCATAGATTACCTAGGCTTCCTGTAACTTCCACTTACAGATATTCCATTCTTCATAGAATAATGATAATTAGAAATTCTCTTGGAACTGGAGAGATAGCACAGTGGTTAAGAGCAATCACTGCCTTTGCAGAGGACCCAGGTTCGATTCCCAGCACCCATTTGGTGGCCTACAACCATCTGTAACTCCAGTTTCAGGAGATATTCAGCCCTCTTCTGACCTCAGCAGGAACCAGGCCTGAATGTGTTACACATGCAGGCAAGACACAAAATAAAATAAATCTTTAAAAAAATTCTCTTACCTCATTTGAAATTGCTTCAGATTTTCTATGATAGATACCTGTTTAAAAAAAAATAAGTACTCTGTTTTATTAAAACAACATTGTATTACTTACACCTGTGCATACTGATAAGCTAGGATTATAATAACATTGTATTACTTACATGTTAAGCATGTACACTGATAAGCGAGGATTATAATTGCTCTCCCTTCAAGTAAAGGGCTATTATTAAAGCAGCTATTCAAACATGAACACTACTTTAGTGAAAACAGGCTGACAAGTCTCTAGGAAGACAAGGATGAGAAACAAAAAAATGGAGTGGAACATGTATGAACTGGTGTGCAGTCTTTATACTGTTCCTAAAGTCCCTGGACCATTTTACAGTCCACCAATAACGCACAAAGTTTTCCATTTCCTCACATCTTTTTGGTATAAACTGCCTGATGAGGTCTAAGATGCTATTTTGTTTTGACTTTTACATTGAGTGATGTTGAACATTTGCTATTGTTAGTGAGTTGAACAGATTCCTTGTGTAGTTTGGGTATTAGCCACTTACTAGACGCTTCACAGATATTCTGTCCCATTCTGTTCATTGCCTCTTCACTCGTCATTTCCTGTCAAAGCTCTGTAGCTGCATGCAGCCCAGCCTTCTGTTCCTGCTTTTGGTACTTGCGCATTTGCTGTCTTATTAAAGGAATTACCACTTGCACCAATGTAATTTAACTTTTCTCATATATCGCCTACAAATCTTACAGTTTCAGTTCTCATCTTTTAAGGCTCTAATTCTCTTCAATTCGCTTTCTTTTTTAGAAAGCCCATGGTTAATGGGTCGAATGAAACTGCTTTTTACATGGTTTTATAACTTGCAGCTTTCTCAAATTTATTTACTAGCTCTAGCATGTTTTTCTTGTGGAGTCTTTAGGGCATTGCACATACAAGATCATGTCCTGTGCTGTCAAACTGCCTTCTACACATCTGTCTGTTCCCACAGATTAGTCCTGCTCTTAGCCTTGGCTGGAAAAGCTTGTCTCTGCAGCAGGCAGTGGTCAGTACAGCGTTTTTATCAGCCCCCTCCAGGCTGGTGTGTGTGTGTGTGTGTGTGTGTGTGTGTGTGTGTGTGTGTGTGTGTGTGTAAAACAAAGAGTGGGAAGGCTTCCAGAAGACAAAGAGGAGTGCTGTGAAATGCTGTATTCTGGATATGACACAGACATTGCACTCACCAACTCAGCAGCTACAACTACTTTCACGAGACCTGCATGAAATCCAGCCAGTCATCACTCCAGCATGGATGGACTGTGCAGGGTCTCATGAGGCTCCGTCCCTAGATGAGGAGCTGTTGACATCAAGGGCTGCTAGAGAAGAGACAGTCATTTTTCTTCGGGTGTGCGGCTGCCTGCCGGTAGGCTGCCTATGTTCCAGTGGGTGGTGCCATACACACATGCATGCAGGCAGCACTCACTGGGCTCATGGGATGTTAAAGAAAAGACAATGACATGAAGTTGGGAAGGAAAGTATTGGGAGGTCCAGAGCAAGTAAGGGGAGATTTGGAATGGATACAGCCAAGCCACAACATATACAATGGATGTGAAATGATCAAAGGATAAATAAAGATTCTAAAAATGCCAGGTCATGTTCGTTAAAAGTATAATTTTGCCGTTTTCCTTTCTGTGTTGGATGATATTTACCTCTTTTTCTAGACTAACTGTTTTACTAGTACTGTGCTCATACAAGTCTCAGGGAAGGACATCTTGCCTTGTTCCAAGTTTAGAGAAAAACTATTTAAAAATTGGGAGAGGGACTAGGCATAGTGGGATGTGGGAGGCAGAGGCAGGTGGATCGTTTAAGTTTAAGGCCAGGGAGTCCAGTCTGCATGGTGAATTTTTTTCTTTTTTAAGTTTATTTTTATTTTACATGTATGAGTATTTTCCTACATGTATGGCTGTATCTCACATGTATGCCTGTTCCCTGGGGAGGTCAGAAGAGGGTGTTGGATCCCCTAGAACTGGAGTTACAGGTGGTTGTGAGCTGCCATATGGGTGCTGGGAACTGAACTCAGGTCCTCTGCAAGAGCAGCAAATACTCTTAACCCTTGAACCATCTCTCCAGCCACATTTTATTCTTTTCTTAGTCTAGCTCAATTTGCCAATTTTATTTATATTTTTTAAAATTTAGCTTTATTGATTTTTTTCTATTCTCTAATTGAAAAAAAATCTACTATGATCTTTATTTCCTCTGACTTTGAAGTTGGTTTCTGTTCTAGTTCTTAGTGATATAAATTTAAGTTGTTTATTTTAGGTCTTTTTAAAAATACATTTTTTACTTTTAATTGTGGCGTGTGTGTGTGTGTGTGTGTGTGTGTGTGTTGTAATCCTGAAGGCTTCAAAAATACTAAAAAGAATCAAGTCATTAGATGATCCATTGGATGTGTGAAAAATGAAACACAAAAACCTTCTGGATAAGTGAAAAACAATACAAAAGCCCCGCAGTGAGAGTGAGAGAGATACTATGTTTTCCCAGTATTCCATACTGAAGAGGCAGTCTGTGATTATCTTTCACTTAAAGCATGTGAGTTAGAACTGTGGAGGGAGACCAGTAGCAGAATGCTTGCCTAGCCCTAGCGTATGTGAGGTCCTAGGTCTGCTCTTTAACCCTTAAATCAAGCAGTAAAAGTTGCATTAACAAGGAGCTTGCATAATCTTGTAGTGTAGGTTGAAAATACAACATCTCCACTCTCCTAGTGACAGAGATATGAGAACACACACATACATATCTGTGGCTGGTAGAGCTGGGGAATGGAAGTAGCCTGGAAAAAAGATGATTAAGTTGCAGCAAAAATCTTGCAATAAATTATATTGCACACTTGAATTAAGAAAGATATATAACCATGTGTTTAAAGTACAGTGGTATATTTTAACTTGCTTTCCAAATAAGTGAGAGAGATGTTTGGGAGATTATGTAAACACTGTTTTTCACAAAATAAATCTCTTACTGATAATTTATACTTAACTTCTCAAACTAAGTACTAATTGAATTTCCTCCACTACAGTTTCTCTCTCTTTCTGCCTATCTCTTTCTTTTTGTCTTTCTGTGTCTCTGTCTCTCCCCGCTCTTCTGATAAACACACACACACACACACACACACACACACACACACACACACGCCCTACCTCCTCAATAGTTCTACAGTTCAAAATGCTTAACAAAATATCTTTAGAAATATCACAGTTGGAGATTTAATTTTTTTTCTATCTTTAAGGGAAGTAAAGAACCATTAAATTTTGTAAAAACTGCTGGGTTTGGAGAAATGACTCAGCAGTAAGACATTAACTGCTTTTGCAGAGGATCCAGGTTCAATTCCCAGCACCCAATGACAACTCACAACCACTTGTAACTCTAGTCCTAGAGGAAATGATGCTCTCTGATGGCCTCTGAGGGCACCAGAAATACATTTGGTAGACAGAAATATATGCAGACAAAACATCCTTACACATAAAATAATTTTAAAAGTTAAAAAACTCTTAATGAAGTATAAGACTTTTCTTTGAAATTCTTGAAAAAAAACAAATGTAATTGGTATAATAATAAAGTGTATATTTGATATACGACAAAAATGAAATTCATTTAAAACAAAACAGTAACTTTTATAATATAACACCTCGCTTTAATTAGCTTAATAATAAACATAAAAATTAACATGATTTTTTTACCATGTGGCACAGTTGCAGGCTCTTTTTCAAATAGACTAGAATGTTTTTCAAATAGTTCAGTCATCTTATCTTCCTAGACACACACAGAAAGAAAGGAAGAAAACATGTTGGGCAAAATACTTAAAGAACTAAAATCTTTTGTCTGCTTTCATAACTATTATTTAAAGAATACTTTATTAGTTTCTTTCATAAAACTCAGATAAGACTACAAAGTTAATAAAATTTTAATATACATTTTCCATCTAAATTTACAGAGGGCAAGAACGAGTTGGTGAGAGAATTAACTCAAGGAGCATGATTTCAAAAGGAGTTGCTGCTCCTGAGGGAGGAAATACAGAATGGGAACGCCTATCATTTAGGTAATGAGATGAAAGTAAAAGAGACACAAACTACAATGTAAAAGAGACACAAACTTCAAGCAGTAAGTGAGAATACCAGGGAATGTATTTTTATTGGAATACGTTATGGCCTATGTCTTTAAAATTATGTATATATTTACAAAAGTTAAAGGAAATTTGTAATGTACAATGACATTGAATTTTTTTATAAAGTACCTTTATAAATAAGAGCACAAATCCACACCCTCTCTAACAACTGCTCTAAGTTTCCCCTAAAATAGTAACTCTATATTAGTGAATAGTAATTAATTTAACTCACAACATTACATTGCTGGCCAACTATTGCAGAGCAATTGTAAAACATAAAAATATCAACACAGCATGACTAGTATTTCAGGGTTGTGATTATAGTAAATGTTTTATCTGAGCTAGGAATTATTTATTTCTTGATCAAAATGTGCAGGTTAGATTGCATAAATAAATTTCAAATACATTTTTAAAAACCACTGTAGTCCAATAAAGTAAAACAGTCAATTTGAAATTTGTTGAAAGATTTAAATGTATTTATCCAAAGAAGATATACAAATGATCTCTGAGAATATGAAGAAATGTTCACACCACCCATCATTGGTGAGAAATTTAAATGAAAAAATGCAGAGTCAGCATTTTGAGCTCTCGAATGTCAGTAACACTGTTAGGACTAGCAATGGAAAACCAAGTGGTCAAGACCCAGAACCAGCTCATATTTTTATTGGAATGTAAGATGGCAAAGCTATATGTAGAAATGGTTTGGCAGTTTTTCACAACTGTAAACTGGGAATTGCCATTTCACCCAGCTTCTGTTCCTGGGCATTCACAGAGGAAAATTAAAAACATTTGTTGACACACACACACACACAAAAAAACATATATAAGACAGCCAAGCATATTGGTCCACATCTGTGATCTCAGCACTTGGGAGGCTGGGCAACTTAGCAAGTTTAAGACCAGCTTACATAGTGAAACCCCCTTTCAAGAAAAACAACAAATGTTTGCACATGAATGCCCACAGCAGTATCCTTCACCATAGCTCAGTAGTGCATATAACCTAAATGTTCATCTGCAGATGAGCAAATAAATAAAATGCATCTAGAAACAAATAGAATGCTGATATATGCCACAAGAAAACACATGGAAAACATTATGCTAAGAGAAAAAAGTAAGCTACAAAAGACCACGTATTTATATATAATCCCACTTTTATGCAATGTTTGGAATAGGCAAATGTATATGGAAGAAAATAGATTGGATGTTGTGGAGGGCTGCCTAGAAGGCAGTGGGAGAACTCAGAAGGTATTTACTCACAGTGTTGGGCTAGTTGTGTTTAAATACAGTGAAAATGTTCTAAAATTGATTGTGGTAATGGATGGGCTGAATACCTCTGAAATGTAGACTTTAAATTGACCAATTAATTAAACCTTATAAATTATGAATAAACACTTACTGAATGGTACATTGTTAATACAAAGAAGAATATAAACTGTGAATAACATTTTATTATTTAATGGTAACAAGCAATTATCTGGTCAAACATTTGAAATTATCAAAACATGCTATCATTAAACATGTATTACATGCTACATATGACAGAATTCATTTTGTCAATTACCTCAGTACCTTTGCGAATCCCTTTTGGAGTGATAAGGTTCCTTAAATACTCAGCTTTTTCTCCCCATGTGTCCAGATGTCTATACTCTGTTTTCATTTTTTCTAACCTAAACAAAGCAAATCATCTATATATGAAAAAGAGCAAGTGACAGAGGGATATGTACGGCAAAATTCACATAAGAATAATACAATATAATAATACACTTATAAGAAGGCCCAAAAGTGGCAAACTAACAACATACTATCTAAGGATACATTTAAAAGAAATATTTACAACAAAAGTAAGGGCCATAGTTATAGGAATGATTAAGGAGAGAGACATCTCTCATAAAGGCACACAAAATATATTTCTGACATTAGTGATAATGATGTGTTTCTTATGCTGGTAATAACTTTATTATCATTATTTAAGCCTTATAAAGACGTTTCAGAAATTATTCAGGTATATGTTATGCATTATTGGTGTTTTAATTTGCTTATTTCTGTCAGTTTGGGTTGCAATAACAGAATCCCATATATTGGGTAGATTAAAAACCAGACATTTATTTCTCAAAATTCTCAAGGCTAGGTACCAGCTAGCTCAGATTCTGATGGCTTCAGATGGCCATCATCTTATGTCCTCCTAGTTGGGAGGATGGGTACCATGTTTCCTCCTCCTTTTGTAACTTTTATAAGGGCATTGATTGCATTACAAGGGCTTCATCCTCAGACGTAATGTAACCCCAGTTATTTCCCAAAAGCTCTACCTTTAGATATTGTTGCACCAGAGATTAAAACTTTAACATTATCAGTTGAGAAGTCTGGTGGTATAGCTCAATGACAGAGCATTTGCTGAGAATGCTTGAGGCCTGTATTCAACTCCCAGCAATACAAATAACAATGGTAAGAATTGGGGTGAGGGTGAAAACACCTGCTCTACTGCTGCATATCTACACTTTTTGACACTGAATGTATATATAATATTTTCCAACAAACCATGTTTTCCCCTTTGAAAGCATTCTTTTTTTTTTTTTTTGGTTTTTCGAGACAGGGTTTCTCTGTGGCTTTGGAGGCTGTCCTGGAACTAGCTCTTGTAGACCAGGCTGGCCTCGAACTCACAGAGATCCGCCTGCCTCTGCCTCCCAAGTGCTGGGATTAAAGGCGTGCGCCACCAACGCCCGGCGAAAGCATTCTTGCTTCTAAACTGATACGATGTACATTATATAGTAAATTGCCATGTGCTGCTTGAGCTCACTGAGAGCAAGTGTCATGGAAGTGGGAAGTCTAGGGATGACAGTGACTGCAGAGGCAGCACAATTTCTGAATCTTTCCAAAATCCCTGCAGAAAGGAATAGAATACAAGCAAGAACCATAGCATTTATAACAAACCTTATAGCAAAGCATTTAAAACATCCTTTAAAACAAAAAGTCAATATTGAGAATTTTCATATACAAGAATTCAAGGAACACTGTAGTTGATCACAATATTTCTTAACTACTTATCTCTCAAAAGTATAACTATAGAACTCCCCAGGGATATATCTCCAAGGATGCCCATAAGACTTGTCTTGGCCAATGGGACACCATTAATGGGACATAAAGCTAAGTATGAGGAGCCCTTCTTAAATGATGGTTTCAGAGTGCAATTCTATAACGAAGACAGGACAGCCTACCAGAAGCCAAAAGGAAAACGCAGGTCCCAGCTCATAACTGGAACCAACTGGCAGATGGGTAAACAAAGGCTTCTCGTGGTCCATCTATTTCTACTGTCATCTGACAATACAAATGAAGCCAGCCAAGAAGAAAACAATTTTAAAAAGTTAGTCTACAAAAACTTTCAATATGCCTACTTTTAGGGTGGTTCTCAATACAGTATTGCTTTTGAAGGATAATCAGAAACCAACCTTGAAAACCAGGTGACTGAAGGAAAAAGACAATTGAGAATTTGCCCCTCTTTCCTACAGGAAATGTAGCACTGGGGAACCAAGAAGGAGACTTATAAAATTATTCCACTTAATAAATAAAAATAAAGTGGTAGAATTAGAATAACTCCATTTTGATATTATATTCCCAAAAGTACAATATGGACTCTAACAAAACCTAACAAATTTTTAAAAATTGCAGTGGCGCACTGCTTTAACCCCAGCACTTGGGAGGTAGAGGAAGGCAGATCTTTGTGAGTTCCAGGACAGCTAGGGCTACACAGAGAAACCTTGTCAAAATAAATAAATAAAAATAAAAAACTGCAAAGGCATTAGATAAATTTAGAAATAATTGCAAAGGCAAAAATGATGAAAGAACCCAATACCAGTCTTACCAAAGAAATTATATCAAATGAAACTGGTTCTTGCATTGTATGTCCAGATTGGGGACAAGCACATGACAGACCAGAGAAAATCTCAATCTAAGGATGTGGTCAACAAAGGCAAGGTCCTTCCCTGAAACATCATCAATAAGGGGTCATGGCTTCAACATATGACCTTGGGGAATATAAACACTCTATCTTTAGCAACCATTGCTAATCAGAACCTAGATCTAGAGAATACATGCATTTACCTCTGGCAGCCAAATAGGCTAAGAACGCTGGTAACTCACATCACTTCAAAGCAAAGATTAGAGTGATCCAAAGCTGGGTTTCCATTTCCAGAAAGATTATTCTATTTTAGGCTTACTCATACTTCTAACTCCAGAATAGGGACCAGTGGTAGGCAACTAACGCAAGTAGGGCATGGCATTTAAAAACACAGTCTGTCATAGGTCATTCATTGGTAGCCCAAGTAGAAGTCTGGGTATTATGAAGCACACCTTCTTTGCAATATATTGAACTCTGGCTTTTGTTGCTTCATGACTGCATATCTATCTTAGCTCTGCTCAGCTTTTTATCATCTTGGCTACCACTACATCCCTTGAAAATGAAGGCACCAAACAATGAACTCAACATCGCTGGACCTCTTTACTTCCTGGAATCTTGGATCCGCAAATACTGCTTTTATAACTCACTGTTTTCAAACAAAATTTCAGAACATATTTCATCCAGATTTTGTTGTCCTTGTTGGATAATGAGATAGTCTTAAATAAGCTAGGAGAACTTACATAGAAAGTATGTGTACATATTAGTTATCCATCTTCATAAGTTTTTTAGCATGAGCTGGATGACTAAAGGACACACCTTTGTCTTCTAGTCTGACATGTTGTCTGTTTAAACAAGACTCATTGAATATCTACCATGTGTCAAGTATTCTTTAAGTACCAAATACACAATGGTATGATTCAAGAACCATACTATCTTTTCTCAAAACAAAAACTTAAGAATAGTTAAATACTGAAAAGAGTAACACATACATATTAGATTATAAGTCATGAAATGCATTCAGCTAGTGTCATGATGCTGGACTTATTCTCCAGAATTAGGATAAATAAATGTCTGCAGATATGAAGCCACATTGGCTTTGATAATTTACAAAGCCTGGACTATTTAGCACAAAGACACTATGACCAAGGGATCAGAAGCCAAGGCTCGAGATTTGGGCAGAGAGGAAGGAACTATACAAATCAATGGAAATTCCATAGCCAGGGGGGTGGGAAAACTAAAATTTAAGTTTGAATTAGTTCAGCAACAGATTTTTTTTTAAAAAAAAGGAAAAGCCAGTGAGAGGAATGTAAGCCAGAAGAAACCAACAGAGAAGAGGGTGAGGAAAAATGGCATGAGAGACAGCAGAAGAGACTTGCATGAAGGAAGCAACTTGCTTTCTTTTGATAATAAAGTACCTAATTTGCTGATAAATAATCAATGGACACATGAAACCGCACCACAATGAGTATTCCTAGGCCAGTGGATAGCTCACGGCTCAACACAAGGAAGCTGGAATGATACAGGCTACATGTAAATAAATGTGTGTGGTCTTTACCTTTCCCGGGGTTTCTCATGGAGTTTTTCAAGTCGCACTGCATTTGCCTGGCTGGCATCAGCAGCCCCGATACTAACATTAAGATCTGGGGATAAGAATGCTGGGTATTCTACTCGTTGTGGTGTAATAACATTTCTGAAAAATAATAATAGAGTTAAATGCCAACAATATATAAAAGCACATCCCTAAAATTGGTGTGGCAACTGCTGTTTTGAATTGTTCTTCTTGTCCCCAGCTCATCCACTACCATGGGCTGTCAAGAAGACAGAGCTAAGGAAGAAGGCAAGAATAATCAGAATCTCGGGATAAGTCCTCTCTTCGTGACTCAACCTATCAAGTTTGTGGGCAGTAGGGATGGAAAAGGAGTAGACACAAAGGAAGGAGAAATAGGACGTATTTGAGTCCAGGTCTTTTGGCCACCATTTATAGCCAAATCTGCCTTCAGAGTCCCTCATTCTTTCAAACAACTAATTCTATGGATTCTGTGCCAGGCACTGTACTCATATGTCTGTCTGTATTGATTGTCTTATTCCACCTTTACAGCAAACCCATAGGGGAAGACTTACTAAATCCACTTGACAAACAAGAAAGCCAGGAGTAAAGAGATTAAGCAATTCCCTTATATGTCTAACACCTAGGGAGTGTCATAGCTAACACTTGACAGTTTTGTTAATACTAGTCTTTGCTGTATACAGTGATGAGCACATTAAATTTAACATGTCCAAAATAGAATGCATAACTTCTCCATTCTCTAATCATGTTCTTTCCACAGTATCACTGGTTCAGGAAGTGGTAGCACCATAGGAGTATCCAGGAGTTTGTAATGAGTCTTTCTCTGTCCTGCCAGCCAGCTCCCAAATAATGACATGGGGACTTATTAATTGTGAAAGCTTAGCCTTAGCTTAGGCTTGTCCCACTAGCTCTTATGACTTAAATTAACCCATATTTTTATTAATCTACATTCTACCACGTGGCTTTTACCTCTCTCCCATTCTGTGTATCCAACTTATTCCACATCTCCATGTTGCCTCCTCTGAGCCTCGATTATCTCCTCCTACTTCCACTCTCTGACTGGAAGACCCATCTATATCTACTACCTAGCTATTGACCATTCGGCAGTTTATTAAACCAATCACAGTAATACATCTTCACATAGTGTACAAATATCCCACAACCAAAACCGTCCTGCCTCTACCTTCCAAGTGCTGGAATTAAAGGCACATCTACCACCACCCAGCCTTTCTTCAATCATTTTTAACCTCTAAATGAAGACAATCATATGACCACAGTTCCACCTGACATGATACAACAGACTGGAAGAGGAAGTAAAGTTTTGAGTGATATTTACTCTTCTCAATATCCCAAAATTTAATATTGTGATGTATGCTATAGGGATAAGAGAGGAAAAAACAAAGCTATTTACATACATGTACATATACACAAATATATTCATAATCAACTGGTGAAGAAATAGTCATAACAAGCATAATCCTTGTTTTTGTAACTAGCGATATGTCACACCCTATACCATTTTCTTCTTTCACTGCCCATTCTGTCCTTCCTCTACTTCAGCAATCACCTCAGCTGGCTCCTTACCTGGTGGTGTGATTAAAACTTTCATTCCTCGGGGCCATCAATAGTTCTAAGATGTTGCAGTTTTCTATTAAATTCTTGCTCAGGGACAGTGAGATAGCTCAGCAGTTGAAGGCACTTGCTGCCGAAACTGAACCTGAGTTCCATCCCCGGCATCAGGTGGAAGAAGGAGAGACCCGGCTTCCACAAGTTGTCCTCTAGCCATGCACACCATGCCAAAACTTTTTTCTTGCAATTTTTTTAAAGATTTAATTTATTTATGTGCATTGATCTTTTGCCTGCATGTGTACCTGTGCACCATGTGTGCAGTGCCCATGGGAGCCAAAGGAGGGGGCCAGACCCTGGAATTGGAGTTATAGATGGTTGTGAGCCACCTTGTGGGAGCTGGGAACTGAACCCCAGTCCTCTGGAAGAGCAGCCAATGCTCTTAACCATTTTTCTAGGCCCCCAAATAGTTTTTAATGCAAAAAAAACCCTTAATCTCAGATACAAATGGGAAAGGAAGAGGTCAAACTTTCACTGTTTGCAGATTATATGATAGTTTACATAAATGACCCAAAGAACTCTTCCAGGAAACTCTTTCAGCTGATTAACACCTTCAGCAAAGTGGCAGGCTACAAGATCAACTCAAGAAAATCAGTAGCCCTACTATATACAGACGATAAAGGGCTGAGAAAGAAATCAGAGAAACATCACCCTTTACAATTGCCACAAACAACATAAAATACCTTGGGGTAACACTAACCAAACAAGTGAAAGACCTGTATCGCAAGAACTTTGAGTTAATTAAAGAAGCCCTCAGAAAATGGAAAGATCTCCCATGCTCTTGGATAGATAGGATCAATGGAGTAAAAATGGCAATCCTGCCAAAAGCAATCTACAGCTTCAATGCAATCCCCATTAAAATACCAGCACAATTCTTCACAGACCTTGAAAGAACAATAATCAATTTTGTATGGAAAAACAAAAGACCCAGGATAGCCAAAACAACCCTGTTCAACAAGGCAACATCTGGAGGCATCACCATCCCTGACCTCAAGCTCTATTACAGATCTGTAGCCCTGAAAACAGTTTGGTATTGGCACAAAAATAGACAGGTAGACCAATGGAATCGAATTGAACACCCTGATATTAACCCATACATGTATGAACATCTGATCTTCGACAAAGAAGCTAAAAATATACAATGGAAAAAAGAAAGCATCTTTAAGAAATGGTGCCGGTATAACTGGATACTGGCATGTGGAAAATGCGGATAGATCCATGTCTATCGTCATGTAAAAAACTTAAGTCCAAATGGATCAAAGACCTCAACATAAATCCAGCCACACTGAACCTCTTAGAAGAAAAAGTGGGTAGTACTCTGAACGAATTGGTACAGGAGACAGCTTCCTGAACATAATGCCAGTAGCACAGACAGTGAGGTCAACAATTAATAAATGGGATCTCCTGAAACTGAGAAGCTTCTGTAAGGCAAAGGACACAGTCAGCAAGACAAAAAGGCAGCCCACAGAATGGGAAAAAATATTCACTAACCCCACATCTGACAGAGGGCTGATCTCCAAAATTTACAAAGAACTCAAGAAGCAAGTCTCCAAAACACCAAAGGATCCAATTAAAAAGTGGGCTACAGAACTAAATAGAGAATTATCAATAGAGGAGTCTGAAATGGCTGAGAGGCACTTGAGAAAGTGCTCAACATCCTTAGCCATCCAGGAAATGCAAATCAAAACAACTCTGAGATACCATCTTACTCCTATAGGAATGGCTAAAATCCAAAACACCAATGACAATTTATGCTGGAGAGGTTGTGGTGAAAGGGGAACACTTCCCCACTGCTGGTGGGAGTGCCAACTTGTTCAGCCACTTTGGAAATCAGTATGGAGATTCCTCAGAAAAATAGGAATGAACCTACCACAAGACCCAGCAACTCCACTCTTAGGCATATATCCAAAAGATGCCCATTCATACAACAAGGACATCTGTTCCACTATGTTCATAGCAGCATTATTTGTAATAGCCAGAACTTGGAAGCAACCTAGATGCCCCTCAACCGAAGAGTGGATAGAGAAAATGTGGTACATTTACACAATGGAGTACTATTCAGCAGAAAAAAAAAAACAATGGAATCCTGAAATTTGCAGGCAAATGGATGGCACTAGAAGAAACCATCCTGAGTGAGATAACCCAGTCACAAATAGAGAAACATGGCATGTACTCTCTCATATATGGATTTTAGAAATAGATCTGGGGAGTGCCAGCCTACAATCCCATGACCAGAGAGTCTGGGAAACAACCTTCATTCAATGGCTGATGGAAGCAGAGGCAGACTCCCACGGCTAAGTACTGAGCTGAACTCAAGAAGGCCAGTAACAGAGAGGGAGGACTTATGAGCAAAGGGGTTAAGACTGGACTAGTTTAACCCCCAGAAACAGCTGACCTGACAAGGTTTAGCTCTTGAATCCCAGGCTGATGCCTGGGAATCCAGCATGGGACTGATCAAGACCCCCTGAACATGAGTGTCAGTGAGGAGGCCTAGATAATCTATTGGGCCTTGGGTAGTATATCAGTATTTATCCCGGACATACAAATGGACTTTGGGCTCCCATCCAACAATGAGAGATGCACTATCATCCTGGACTCCCAAGGGAGGGTCTAGGGCCTGCCCTGGATGAAATGACAGGCTATGGACACCCCCATGGAGGGACTCACCCTCCCTGGGGAAATGAGGGGATATTGGAGGGGTTGGTGGGAGGGCATGGGAGGAGGGGAGGGAAAGGGAGAGGGAACTGGAATTGATATGTGAAGCAACCTTGTTTCTAATTTTAATTTAAATTTAAAAATAAAAATAAAAAACCTTAATCTCAGGGGGTGGTAATATCAAGAGATTCCCTAACGGACCTCCTGTATTTTAGACACACCCTCCCCTTTCCCATGCTCTCTTTGGCAGCTGGGATCAATTCTTTACCAGTGCAGTGACTCCCTCCTTAGTCTGTTTATTCTAGTTCAATACAGTGTCTCAATGGAACCCTTTACTTCTTTGGAAATAACTCTAGGCCAGCAGAAGATGTGTTCACAGGAATAGGAGAGAAAGTTTGGTTCATGAATCACAAGGAGTGGTGATGAGGGGCAGTTCTCACTCCCATTCCTTGATTCCTGGACCACTGAACACTGGCTATGGGAGAAAACACATCAGAATATACAAAACCTTCTGAGTGTTTGTGCTGGTGCTGTGACTGACTTACTGGAAAGGCCACTCCACTGCTCTGTTTAGTTTGTTGTTTCCAGCAGCCCGGAACATAGTAAGAATGGATTCCATGGATCATGGATAGACTATTGCACTTCGGGTTTGCTGTGAATTGAGTTCCTTCATCAGGATAGTGCAGTGGGGAATACCAAGATGGTGGGAGGGGCATTTTTAAGGCTACAGAAAAGTGGTGCATATAGGGGAAGCAGCACTGTACCTTTGTCCAGGGTGAGTAAGTGATCACTCGGCAGGCACCATCTTCATTTGATGATGTAGTGTTACCAGCATCCCTAACTTTATGGGTGAGCAGATCAGACAACCCCCAGTGTTATGGCAGCTGAGGTTACATGGTGACCTGATGGCCTGTGGTTACACATTCAGCCTCTACTAAGTACCTCTGGCCGACCCAAGTTCCTTCTCAAAAGCAGAGCTGTCATTTGTTGGGGCATTAGGGTTTCATCCAAACATTCTAAGGGCTTGTTATGTAATTCACTCACAGGGGCCTCCTTTAGGAGCCAAACAGTATCTCTCTCTTTCGTTTACATACAAGGCACCATTGGACCTGTTGGACCATATGGCTCACGTGTTAGAGCAGCCTGCCAAGCAGCCTGCACCTGTTTAAAAAGCTCTCATTTTGAGCTCTACTCAGTACTTTCTTGGTCCTTTGGGAAACAGGCCAGAACAATGCACCCAAATGAAGAATGGGATACCTCCAAAATTGAAGTATGTCTACTGGCTGTAGAAAGGGAAAGTTGCAACAATTTTCCATCACCATGAAAGGGTTATCCCCACATTTTATGACCATAGGATTCCTAGAAGTTTCACTGAGGTAGAGAGTGCTGAATTTTTTGTAATATAATTTCCCCATTTTCTTATATGTACAAAAAATGATAAAAAGTTTACAGTAGTTGTTACATCTTGTTCACTGGATCCAATCAGCTAATTTTATCAATGCGATATAACCATATATCCTATAAGAGAAAAAGGGGACCAAGATCTCTGGAAATGAAATAAAGACTTAATTTTAGAGAACTTATGTATCTCTGAGCAGGTCAGTGAAGATGTATTTCTCCCCTTGTCACTAAAATCAAACAATTTCTGATGGTCTTTAATAAGAAATATCAAGTCTATAGCTCCATATCACATACTAGGGGAGATGTTCTTTTTATCAGATGTTGATAACACAGTTGGCACAGTGGCTTGCAATTAGTCACCCACCAGGTAAGCTCACATTACCCACTTGGCACATTAATCTGCCATTTGCACAAACTAAACAAATTGAAGAGAGAACCTGCCCCTGCTCTACCCCCTCCAAAAAGGTAGCATTAATGCTTTCCTGGGCAAAGGCAGTCAGTGACTGCTGTTTGGTTCCTATAGAAAACACTCCCGTCACAGATCAAGAACTAATGTGGAGATCCCAGCATCCATAAAGACATGTCTGTGCCTATCATGTCTTCTCAAACTGGAGAAAAACAGCAATATGACAGCTCAGGGCTTTAATATAACTTATTTAGTCACCGTAGTCACTAAGCTGAATGGCTTTAATTTTATTTTGTTTCCTAAATAAAGGCAAAGGGCCTAACTAACTTGCCTGAGGTGACACAGTGATGGGAAAGCCTGGATGAGAGCCTGTCCTGGCTGGCGTTAGTCACCAAGCTTGGGCCCCTGTCTTCCCCACCCTACTGTCCACCTCCTTAACCCTCTGCTCTTAGATACTGGAATTCACCGCTAACTACCCCATCACAACACGGCATCTTACAGAGCTGCTGTTACATACGTGCCCTTTGTGGGGGATGAATCTTCTTGGGTTCAGTTTTCAAATCTCGCTTTACGCTGTCTTTTGTGGAGTGTTACTTGGAAATTCTTTCCTTCTTAACTTCCCCGAGACAAATCAAGAGCTCCTCAGCTGACTTGTGGCTCTCTATATTCAGCTCTTAACGAGCTCTCATTCCAAAACCAAACAGTCATGACAATTCATGTTCTCAAGTCACCTATGCATTAAACTAAAAGCACAAGGCAGGGGAACTAGATGTTGTTTCTCTCTGTATTGCAATGCCTTAGGAATGCGGCAGACATTTAGTAAATGTTTTGTAAGTCAATGGATATAGACAAGAAATATAAGAAAAAAGTCAACTTTATAATTTCATAAATCACCACTATCAAGTGGATAAAGTGTTTTTTAATGCAATAGCCAGTGATGAAATCATAAGAAAAAAAATCCCTTCAGAACACGGCATCGTATCCCGTATCTTACTTGTTTGTTTTTCTGTTTTTGTTTTTTGAGACAGGGTTTCTCTGCTGTCCTAGATGTCTACAGAGTGAGTTCCATAGCCCATATCTAGTTTCCTTAACTCATTTCAACTTTTCAAAACAATTCTTTTTTCTTGGATAGCTCTTTTGCTGATGCATATTGTTTCGTGTAGTGTTAAGACCACCTGGAATACTATATTTTAAACTACATTTCACTTGCTAATAACTTAAAATATTTTTGTGTGAGGAGGTATGGGGGTGCATTCACATAAATGCGTCTTACTCTCACTCTCTGCCTTAGTCCCCTGGGACAGGGTTGTTCACTGCGTGTGAAGCTCACCATTTCAGCTATGCTGGCCAGCTAAACCCTGGGATCTGCCTGTCTCTGTCCTTCAAAGCTGGGGGCTACAGGCACCTGCAGCCATGATTGACTTTGTGCATGGATGCTGGGGGTCTGAACGCAGCTCGCAGAGCATCTCCCTGGCCCCACTAATAACACTTTTCACGTGATTTTGTTGTTGTTTTGGTTTGTGTGTTTTGTTTTACAGCTCATTTGGAAGTTACAGTTGGAGTGGTGTGGGGAAGGGTAACACTGCTGTCCTACAGAGCAGAAACAGACAACCACTAGACACATGGATCTTGGAAGCCCTTCCTTTTCATTCCATAAGGAGGATCTGGCTGGCGAGTCTCCTCAGTAAGCCGCCTCTTCACCGGTCTCCTCTCATCTCTAGACCTCAGCTCCTTTCTCCAAGGTGACACCTAGAGTCTCAGTGTCTCTCTCATCTTCTTGTTTGTTTGCTTGTTTTTCACAAGGTTTCAAGAAACCCCTGAACTCGCATCCTCATGCCGCTACCTCCCAAGTGTTGGGTTTAAAATGCCTCTTTATCTTAATACAGTAACGAAATCAAAACACTCACGTGACCGGATCTGTTCTATCTGGAGGAGGTGCAATCTTCATGAACATAGAAGGTTCGATGATTTTTTGAAGAGGCTTTAACTGAATAAAAATATAAGTATATTATGGTGTAATTCACCATAATAGGACTAACAGCCCCCAGACTCCAAAGGCCAATACAGTTCTCATGTATGTAAGGGGAAGCAGAATGAAAAAAGGAAATTAATTTGTTGGGTACTAAACATTTGCCAAGCATTACATACATTTGGTCTTCTCTAACCCTTTTGATAAAAATATGAGGTAAGTGTGAATATTTATATAGATCACATTGAAGAACAGTGATTCATTCAAAGTTACAAAATGGTGTGCAACACGGGGAATGAGCGTGCAACACGGGGCATGAATGTAGGCGTTTCTACCTTTTATATAGAGCTCTGTTTCAAACCATCACAATAGTTGAGAAGGAGAATGTCACCGAAAGGGTCATGGTCAAGTTGCACTTCTGTTGGGCAGCCACTTCTTTTCCATACAGTACCTTTGCTCTGTCTTCAGTAAGGCCTACATACATAAAACGACACTTGCCTAGTTTTATCTGAGAATAGGCTGTTGCTTTCTCTCTGTGTGCATATTTTTGTATACACATGTATATGCTCATTTGTATCTGAAGGTGTGTGCTCTGTGTGTGTGTGTGTGCTCAGCATGTATGTGCTGTGTGTGTATATATGTGTGTGTGCTCTGCATGTACGTGCTGTGTGTGTGTGTGCTCTGCATGTACGTGCTGTGTGTGTGTGTTCTCTGCATGTACGTGCTGTGTGTGTATGTGTGTGTGTGTTCTGCATGTATTGCTGTGTGTGTATGTATGTGTGTGTGCTCCGCATGTACGTGCTGTGTGTGTGTGTGTGTGCTCTGCATGCACGTGCTGTGTGTGTGTGTGTGTGCTCTGCATGTACGTGCTGTGTGTGTATGTGTGTGTGTTCTGCATGTATTGCTGTGTGTGTATGTATGTGTGTGTGCTCCGCATGTACGTGCTGTGTGTGTGTGTGTGTGTGCTCTGCATGCACGTGCTGTGTGTGTGTGTGTGTGTGTGTGTGTGTGTGCTCTGCATGTACGTGCTGTGTGTATAGTCCAGAGGACAACCTCAGTTTCTCACTGGCCTGGAGATCATCAAGTAGGCTACACTGGCTGGCCACCAAGCCCCAGAGACCTTCCTGGTTCCCATGTCCCCAGCACTGGGATTGCAGATCTAAAAGGAACCACTCTCTTTAAGAACATTCTTACATGTTATGCTTATATTTGGACACAAAACCTACTTCTAAAATCATATTCATACGTTATGACTGCTAAAGCAACTTACAACAATAATGGCAGTGGGGATTCTAATAAGGCATACTCATCCCAAGAAAAGACCACAAGGGCCAGAGAGATGGCTTGGTCAACAGAGTGCTTTCCATGCAAGACTCAAGACCCAAGTTCAATATCAAGCACCCACCTAAAAAGCCAGGCGTGGTGGCATGCACTGTAGCCCCAGTGCTGGGGAGAGCCAGGTGGGTCTTGGGATTATTCTAATTGATAAACCCCAGGTCCCAGTGAGAGACTTTGTCTCCTGGGGAATGATAAAGTTACCTCTAGTCTCCAAACACATGTGCACATGCAGACACACATGCACCTTAACATGCACACATACCCACACAGAGAATAGAATAACCAAGCATGCCAGTGCACTAATGCAATAACCCCAGAACTCACTAATCTGAGGTAAGAATCATGAGTTTAACCTGAAACTGGGATCCACAGATAACTCAAGACCATACTGAGCGGTATAGGAAATCTCAATTTCCACAAGCCATGTCCTGGGCATGTAACTCAGTGGCAGAGCATTTGCCTGCTGTGCCCTGTGCTCTGTGTTTTCCCCAGCATTACAGTAAGTAAGTAACAAATAAATGGAAATAACAGTAAAAGCAGATGAGAAAAAAAGGTTTGTTCTTTGTGACTGTTATCAGTACAGTTCACTTTCCAAATACATTAGCAATCATGAAATACTGTGGACAAAAATTGAAACGTATTACAGGGATTTTTAAAATTAACTTAGCAGTAGACTTATTTAGTAAGATTAATCTCCTTATTCCCAATTACTAATCAAAACTCACCCAACACTATTAAACAAAAATCTGAAATGAAGCTCACCCCCCCACACACACAGCAGCAGCAGCATCAATAGGACTGGGTTAATACACTTGGAGTTCTGATGATTCAGCGATATCAAGAGTTCTTTCACTGGGTGGTGGTGTACACCATTAATCCCAGCAGAGGCAGGTAGATCTCTGTGAGTTCGAGGCCAGCCTGGTCTGCAGAGCGAGTTCCAGGACAGACAGGGACACACAGAGAGAAACTCTGGCTCAAAAATCAAACAAAAAAGAGTTCTTTCAAATACTAGGTAACAGTTTTTATATATTGATATGGTTTTCTAGAATAATTTTTTCGTCAATGTGAATGCTAGAATCACAGGCTTGTGTCTATGATCAATGACTTCATTTTGATGAATATTTCTAGATCTAAAATTCTACACTCAGGTAAATGCCTAAAATAATATTGTTTTTATTTTTTTAAATGTGTAGAAACAATAAAAACTCTTATGATAAATTCATTTTGAATAAAATATCATCATTTAAAATGTATGAGCAAACACATATTTTGTTTTGTTTTTGTCAATTTTGGGTTTCTTGGTGTGTGTGTGTGTATGTGTTTGTGTGTGTATGTGTGCATGTGTGTGTGTGTGTGTGTGTGTGTGTGTGTGTGTGTGTGTGTGTGTAGAAAAACCCTTATGTCTCAAGAGCAGAATGTGAAGCGAGGCTCTTAGTTTTAAAAGTTGCCCAGCTGGAAAAATAAGGGCTAGTAGTAGAATGGCTTGATTGATGAGCTGAAACAGAAAGCATTTTTTAAGAGAAGGGAACTAACCTGATGTGAAAATCCATAACCGAACGATCCGTAGGAGAACATGAACTCCACCTCCAACCTGCAGATAACCTGAGAGCGAATGATGCTGTTAGAGAAGTGACAATGTCATAAGCCAAACATTCAGAAAAGCCTGGAAGGAATCTTCTGGCTAAAAAAGACCAAAGTGCCTTTTGCACAAGGAACTCCAAAAGAGTTCTGTTCAGTTTGCAGGATATTTGCTTTAAATTACATAATGCTAATGGTCAAATCTACAAAATTGTAACATAGTTTTTAGTAGGATTATGCTCAGATATTGACATATATGTTCATATTTTACATATGCATATATCTCAAATGATTTACTCACACACCTTTCATCTCCACCACATATCAAATTTAGATTGAAATAAGCAAGCTCACCTCTGAACCCAGGCTGCCCATGTGTAAAGGGAAAAGAAGCCTGTACTCAGTGACTTTATGTGTTCTCATCCCTGCTCTGCCAAGCACAGCAAAGCACCTTGGATTGCTCTGTTAATCACATTCCTAACACTTAACCTTCCTGACATTAGGAGCTGCAGTCGTCTCTTCAGGGAGTCTTCACCAAGGCTTTGGTCTGTGCACTGAAAGCAGCCAGAGACATTTTGCTGCCTCATCCAGTGATTTCTAATCCTCTCTTCCACAATTTCCTAATAAGATCAAAGCCTTGAAACATATCTATATATGTAACAATTAAAGGAAAAGAGGCCATGAATTTGAGAAAGAACAAGGGAGATGCCTGAGAGGAATTGGAGGGAGAAAGTGGAAGGGGGAAATATCATATTGTAATTTAGAAAAATTATTATAAAAATATTTAAAAAGCTAAATTGAGTCTGAAAATGATACCAACTTTTATATAAAAATGAAGAATTTATAAGCAAATACTGTAATTTTTCTATGTCACATATTTTTACTAATTCACACAGCTATGGTTAGTGTAATTAAAAAATTAAAAACTTTAGGCTATAAACTATCAGAGTAAATTCTGTACAGTGTTAAAATACCATGCATGCATACATCTCAGGAATGTTTGTAAAGCTCTTACGGAGTTTCTGTGCTTCATTTGTAATACTTCAGTAAAGCAGCCTTTCTAGAAAATAAATGTAGAATCATTCATGTATGTATCTGTAGTTATCTAAAGCGTACTATAATACAAAATCAGGTAATCATTTTTAAGTATACATAAATTCAATAGCTAAAGTACAAGTAGAATGTAATTTTAACTAAATCAAAATACAAATATAATGAATATTCAGTAGAAGAAAAATCCACTTGCGAATGGCAAAAATAAATGTAGGTAGAGTGCTTCTGCTGGGGGACTTCCCTTTTTGGAAATTCACCCTGATTCTGGTTTTGAGGGTTAAATGCAAATCACCATGACAAATTCCTGGATAGGTGGAAGTCCCCTTCCACCCCAAGGGCATGGACAGGCTCTGAAATTTTTGCCATCATTGGTCCCCATCTGTCATTATCTCTGCTATCCTATGAGTTATCTCCCCCAGCCCAACATCCATGGTCCGTTCTTCCCGAGCACCGCACCTCCCATTTAATGGTTAGGAACCTTACACACTATATGCTGAGTACTTCAGTGAGCACTCTTCTTAACCATTTAATGGTTAGGAACCTTACACACTATATGCTGAGTACTTCAGTGAGCACTCTTCTTCGTTCTTCACAGACCCCTGAAGCAAAGGCGCTTCCCCAAAGCCCACACACCAGACAAGGTCAGAAAGTAATGCTGGCTTCTCTGTTACCCTCCACCACTCCAAATTACATGATCTTGTGTGGGAACTCAAAGTTTTCTTATTTTAAGCCTCATGTTATCTGATAATCCTAAAAGTTTTCATATGTTTAAGAGGAGCTTTGTTTACAATGCATGTAATAAACAAAAGGAGTCTATCAGGTATTAGGAGTCACCATAACAAATACCAATTAGACAGTGTGGTACCAAGATTTAAAAAAAAACTGGTTTCTTTTTTACTTTCTGTAATTTGTGTTTGTGTATTTGTTTTTTTGACACTGTGTCTCATGTAGCCCAGGTTGGTCTTGAAATCACTATGTGACTGAGGATGACCTCGGGACTGTTAAGTACTAGGATTAAGGTCTGGGAATTTTTATACATACCTGTATTACTTCATAAAGATGTGATTCAACACTGCCTAAGGAAAGGGCGGGTCTTCCTGTATCTCCTCCGTCTTGCATTAGTTCCAAGAAAATAGTGTTCCGCTCATCATCTTGACGTCTGGGAACCTCAATATCACAATGTATGAGAAGAAGTACTAAGTTTCTAGTCTGAATTTCAGACATAACTTCCAAATACACACATCAACAAGGTATGCTATACCATGGGCATCACTAATTATTAGTTTTTGCAGGTTAGCTTTGTGACGTTTCAAGTTCATCATTTCACATATTCTAATCAGGACCTGATTATGCTTAATATTAATTATGACATATAAATCATCTATGGCCTGCATTCTTTTTAACTATACATAAAGAGGTGCCCTCAACACTTGGTGTGAAAAATATACATGGGAGAAAAGACAGTTCACCAACAGTGCTAGAAAAAAAACAAATACCCATATGCAGAAGAATAATCTAGATTTCCACCTCTTACCTTATATAAAAACAAATCCAGATTGGATGGAAGAGATTAGTGTAAGACCTGAGACTTTAAAAGGCCGAGAGAAAAGCATTCAGGACACACTCCTAGAACAGAGCTCTAGCAGCTCAGGAGACAACAGCAAGAACTGGCAAGCAGGAATGTATCAATTATAGAGCTCCTGCATGGAAGAAACAAATTCTCTTTGCCAGCTACTTATCTAGTAGGAGATTAATATCCAGAATATGTAAAGGACTCACAAGACTAAACACTGAAAGAATAAATAACCCCTAATCAGCATATGGGCAAATGAGCTGGATAGTAACATTTCAGATGGAAAGTACAAATAACAATAAGAGCATGAAGAAATGCTTAACATTTTTAGCCATCAGGGACGGCAAATCAAAATGACATAGACTGATATGGCACATCAGCCTAGGGACCCAGGGATGGATTGAGTGGGTATCAAAAATGGAACATACCCACACAGCGAAGTTTTATTCAGTCATCGAAGAACAAAACTATGACATTTTCAGGAAAAAAATATAGGACCAGAGGTCATTATGTTGAGCACAATATTCCAGGCTTACAAAGACCAGGGCTCTCTCATGACTGGAAGTTAGGGAAAAAGAAAGGGGGCATAAAAATAAAAGGGAAATTATTCATGATTTAGAAGGAGGAAAAGGGAAGGGATGGGAAGATGAGCAAGGATAGTGGAGAGGTTAGTATGACCAAAGTATGTTCTTCACATGTACAAAAATGCCAGGGAAATCCAGTATTTTATACAATAGATATTCTAATAAAATAAATTAGTTAATTTAGAAGTATGCCTTGTCTGTTATTCTTTTTACATTCATTTATGCAAGTATGAATGTATGTATGTGTGTGTATCAATGTATGTGTGCGTGAGTGTGTGTGTGTGTGTGTGTGTGTGTGTGTATGAATGCAAGGGGGAGCACATGTGCCACAGTGCACATGTAGAGGTCAGAGGACAGCTTGTAGGAACCAGTCTCTCCTTCTACCATGGAGGACCCAGAGATCAAATCAAGTCATTAGGCTTGGTACAGCGCCTTTACTCACTGAGCCCTGCCATGACTTTTTAAGAATTTAGCTCTAAAAATTATCTTTCCTACTTGACACTTATTTAAAATAAAGTTTACAAAGATGTACAGAGCACAGATGAAATGTTTTAAATTTTCAGTAAAACTCAACATAGTAAGTTTTTAAAGAAGTCATTGGACTAATTAGTGAACCTGTAACTCTATAGAATAGTACCACTAATTTTCAAGACTTGTTTACTTTATGTATATGTGCTGTATGCATGCAGGTACTCATAGAGGCCAGAAGCGGGCGTCAGGTACCCTAAGATCAGAGTTACAGCCTGTCTTGGGTACTGGGAACTGAGGGGCAGGCCTTTTTCAAGAGCAGCAAATATTCTTGGCCACTGAACAATAGATCACTATTTTAAAGGAAACTTTGAGATATATGTAAGCTTTTAAGGAAGCTTAACTGTAAACAGAAGCAGAAGTTCCAACTGAGAGGCGGTTCCATGGAATTTGACTTCAATCCTGAGTGCATACAGGCCCAGCTCCATCACATCCTAGCCCCACAGTCCCAAGTTCTTTAACCCCATAGTACCTAAGTTTCTTCATTTGTAAAGATAATAAGGAAGTGTGTGTGTGTGTGTGTGTGTGTGTGTGTGTGTGTGTGTGTGTGTGTGTGTGTGTGAAACAGAGAAAGGGGAAAGGAGGGAGAGAGATATTTCGGCTTGTTACAAAGACTGCGCCATCTATGTGAAAACAGTAAGAGGAGTTTTTCTGAGGAGAGCAACTAGAGGAGAGAAAGGAATGGGAGAGATAAACAAGGAAGGGCTGAAGACTACTGCAGATGACACCACAGATAAGAGAGGAGGAACAAGGGAGAAAGCCTTCCTTAGGGTAAATTCTTAGAGCAGCCCACAGCAGCAAGCCAGGGAGGAAGCACACAGCACAGGCGCTGCAGGGCTCTTCACCTCCCTGTCCCTGTCCTCCCTGTCCCTGTCATCCCTGTCCCTGTCCTCCCTGTCCCTGTCATCCCTGTCCTCCCTGTCCCTGTCCTCCCTGTCCCTGTCCTCCCTGTCCCTGTCATCCCTGTCCCTGTCATCCCTGTCCCTGTCATCCCTGTCCCTGTCATCCCTGTCCTCCCTGTCCCTGTCCTCCCTGTCCCTGTCCTCCCTGTCCCTGTCTCTCTTAGGAAACTGTCACGGGCCACCTCGGGGAAGGGAAACACTGCGGAATCCCAAATGAAAAAGCACTGCTTTGGGTTCTTGTTTACCCCCCCCCGAAGATGTAAGTTGTTAGAATATGTGAAACTATAAAGACACATCATTGTATCAAAAGAGAATTTTACCATTACCTGTACAGAAAAATACTTCACTTCACCAAACCTAAGTACAAAGTTCTTTTCATTGTTAACATGTTTTAGGTTCCGAAGTTTTGTGCACTTCATGATGTGGTTTATAGAGATGCGAATGAACAGATTAACATGTTGTTGTATAATGACTGAAAATAAAATATTTAGGAAACAAACTTTGTTGTAATTGATCAAATAACACATTGTAAAATCTACTTAACAATCCAGGCCAAAATATAAAAATCAATCAAGTACATACAGAAATTAATCTTAATGTATATTAAACAACAGGAAAAACCTTCAAAATAACATTGTTGCCTGTCATTGTTAGCCACAATGTCAATAGGAATGTTTTTTCTCCTCCCACCTATCATGTCTTTATTCTCACACTCTCACCATAATTCCTTTGCAAAATTTCTGCACATTAATTTTAAGTAAATAAGCGTATATAATATATAATTCACATTGTTGTCTAGATGTAATTATGTATAGAAGTTTTTAATTTTATTTTACATACTGACTGCAGTTTCCCTCCCTCCCCCTTTCTCTCGCTCTCTCTCTCTCTCTCTCTCTCTCTCTCTCTCTCTCTCTCTCTCTCTCTCTCACACACACACACACATCAACCCATTCCTCTTCTGTTTCTGTTCAGAAAAGGGCAGGCTTTCCATAGGTGTCAACAAAGCATGGTATATCAAGTTGCAGTAAAACTAAGCACTTCCCCATGTAGTAAGGCTAGGCCAGGCAATTAATTCAGTATGAGGAATAGGTTCTCAAGAGCCAGCCACAGCGTTGGGGACAAATAAGCATAGAAACTAAGAATCAGTGAATCCGAAGTCTACTCTAATTCACTTCACTGTAGTCTTCATTTCCACTGTACTGTATCGCTTTCATAGTACTTTATGAACTAAAAAAAAGTTTTCAAGATTTAAGTGTCTTAAAACATCTTTATAGGTATTTTTTTAAACTCCCTTTATGCAAAAAAAAAAAGAGAAAGAAATGCTGTAATGAGAGTGGTTTAAAATAAGAATAGAGGAGTATGAATCCCAACACTTGGGAGGCCAGACTAGAGGACAGAGAGTTTAAGGCTAGCCTGGGCTGCATGGATATAGTCTCAAAGAACCAAAAACAGGGCACAAATTTAAATAAATTATTTTTAAAATGTTTAACTAGTCTTATTGCTTATAGTTAAATTAGCATTATATCTATGGATATAATATTTTCCTTTAACTTCCATGGAGATTGAGATAAATCACAACTGACCAAATCTTTTTTTTAACTTCTACATTATAAAGTACAATTTATTTTCACTGACCTTGAATCTGAGCAGGTATTTATGATCATTTTAACATAAATCCAAAGAATGCTACTGAAAATGGCATTAGGATAGGTGACAGAGGCATTCATCAAAGAGTGAGATTTAAGGGAACATGAAAGCCTACGGTAATCAAGGTCTTACTTTAAATGTGTATATTTTGTGAATAGAAAATGGGTGCATGAGGATGAATGACCCATGAGCGCAACAAGCGTTCTAACCACCCCACCCTTGCGGGCAGCCACACTCAGGGCCAGACACCCCGGTCCCTCTGAACTGCAAACTGCAGGGAAGCTAACCCTAGCAAGCACAAGTTCTACCTCTTGGGTGGACATGGTTTGGTGATCCAATGGTTGGTGTTTCAAGCTGTTATGTTTTGCAGTAGTTAGTGACCAGAACATAAGTAACCAAAATGGCAAGGTATGCTGGTACTGTGGTCTACAAGCAAAAGGATACACCTGTGAGAAAACTGTGTACAACTCTTTATGTGAACAGCCAGGCAGCCGACCTACAACAACCGAAACAAAAACACAAAAGGTGAACATATTTTTTAAAGTTAACTTTCTTACACTTTACATTGAACTCTATTTTTTATTTTTTAAAATACAGTTGTGCTGGGTGTTTCACATTAGAAGTACTTTGTTGTTTGTTCTTACTAGAAGTATGATTTCTTGGGGCTGGAAAGATGGCTCAGTTATTAAGAGCATATGGTACTCTGCAGAGGACTTAAGTTCAGTTCCCAGCACCCACATCAGTTCTGAGGAATGTGGTGTCCTCTTCTGGTCTCCACGGGTACCAGACACACACGTGGTGTAGGTACTGACCCACACACACACACAAATAGAAAAAGGTCTTTAAAATGCTGTTTCTTTTTAATTTTTTTATTACATTCACTCTCTCCCTTATGTCCTTTCTCTCCCTTTCACCACCCTATGTGTGTGTGTGTGCGTGTGTGTGTGTGTGTGAGAGAGAGAGAGAGTGTGTGTGTGTGTGCAGACATGTGCATAATAGCACGTGTGGTGGTCAGAGGGCAGCTTGAAGGAGTTGGTTCCCTCCTTCTACCATGCAGATCCTGGGGCTCAAATGCAGGTCCTCAGGCTTAGCAGTGACAAGTGTCTTTACTTACTGAGCCATCTCATTAGACCAAACAGTGTTGCCACAGAGAAACTATTACTTCTGAGGTTTGTCGAGGGGCATGGAGGAGTGATGAAGGGGTCAATTTTCAAACCATGGGTCAATTTGGAAAGATGTATCACCACTTGATGATCTCAACAAAATACTGGTTCACAGACTCCTCTTTCAGAAAGACATTCAACATTAGATCTTAGGTGGGGCCCCAAACTGTCTTACAATTATATCAGGTGATCGGGAATCTTTTTTATAGAAAACTTTGTTTCTGTGAATTAGAATGCTTTCCATGATTTTGGTGAATATTCAGTGACTTTATGATTCATATAAATAAATAATTCATGATAATGTTTATAATGGAGGATATTTTCTTCACACATTTTTCAATCACCAGATAATAAATATCAACTTATTTAATATCAAATTAGAAATAATTTGTAAGGCTCATTGAAGGTTACTCATACATACCACATCTCCAAATGGTATCAAATTTGGTGTTTCCTGTGCTACCATCATTTCTTCACTCTGAGACCCTTTAAGAGTTTTTCTTAGGATCTATAATTAAAATAATTTAACACTTTAGAAGAAAAAATAGAACATAACTAGATAAAATAGTATTCCAATTAAATATTTTCTGGGTGTCTAGTAAGTATTTGGTGGTCTAGGCAGTGGATATAACTATGAATAAGAAACTCGTTCCTATCTTCAATAAGTTTATCAATAGGTAAACAAAGAAATATAAATGTACATAATTAAACATGGAATTATCAAGGCAATCAGAAAAGAGAAGAGCACATATGCATATGAACAATGGGCATTTGTTAATAGATTGAAGACAGAGCAGGATATATTGAAACATTTGTATCCAGTACGGCAACCACCTGGACCAGAACTTTTTTTTTTCCGGGGGGTGGGAGGTTGAGGGGTGAGGGGAGGGTGTTGAGACAGGGTTTCTCTGTGTAGCTTTTGGAGCCTGGCCTGGAACAAGCTCTTGTAGACCAGACTGGTCTCAAACTAACAGAGATCCGCTCGCTTCTGCCTCTCAAGTGCTGGGATTAAAGGCGTGCACCACCACCATCTGGCTCAGAACTTCTATTCAAATATAACTATATCAAGATGAGAAGCACAGATGAAACATAAGACACATCAGAAAAGGGCTCACAATTTCCAGATTTCCTATAAAGAGGGAGATAAAGTAAAAATTCTGAAACAAACCTATGGGGACAGAGACAAGAAAATCCATAAGTGACTGTGGAAAATAGAAGAGAGGAGTAGGGATAATAAAAGAGACAGAATCAAGGAGAAAGTCAACACTACAGAGGTTCTGACTGACGGTTGTACAGCACTGGGGGAGAGAAGAGCCCTTGGGGAGAAGGACCAGGTCTGGCTTCCTCGGAGGAACACTGCCTCTCAGTGAAGAAGACAGAGAAGAGGGTCCCTGAGTGCATGGCAGTAAGAAGAAAGCAAGGTGATATGGGAGGAATTAAGGGTATCAGAACAGGGGGAGGAGGGGATGGAGAGGGAGCTGGGACTGACATGTGAAGCAAGCTTGTTTCTAACTTAAACTATAAAAAGGAGGGGGAAAAGGCTATCAGAACAACAAAGAAGAGCCACCAATCACATTCACGCTATCATCGCTTAGAAGCTCATTTGCATAAACTGCACTTCAACATGCTTTAAAAGCATAGCATGCTTGAATCCTGTAAAAGGTCACCAGGATAAGAAAAATGAGATCAACCTCATTAACACTTGTTATAGGAAGCAGGGTGTAGGCCCTCCCCTGTGTGTCTAGGCCGAGAGAGTATCCCTCTATGGGGGAATGGGCTCCCAAAGCCCATTCGTACACCAGGGATAAATATTGATCCACTGCCAGAGGCCCCATAGGCTGACGCTTTTATCTTGCAGGTAGCCAACAGCTGTCTAATTGAACCTGTTATATTATTTGTGGCTGTTATGAATGGTGTTCTTTCTTGATTTCTTTCTCAGTCCATTTATCGTTTGCATTTAGGGGGTCTACTGATTTTTTTAATTAAGTTTATTTTTTAATTTTATTTTGCATTCCAACCATAGTTCCTCCTCCCACTCCTCCTTCTGCCCTCCTTGCCTCCCCCACTCCTCCCACATGGTAAACCCTGGCCCATTAAGCTGAGGCAGGACTAAGCCCTTCCTCGCCTGTATTAAGGCTGAGCGTAGCACCCCACCATAGGGAATAGGCTCCAACAAGCTAGCTCATGCACCAGGGATACATACTAGTCCTTCGGTTAGGGATCCCTCAGATAGACCCAGCTACACAACTGTCTCCCACATGCAGAGGGCCTAGTTTGGTCCACGGAGGCTCCATGACTGTTGGTCTAGAGTTCATGAGTTTCCAAGAGCTTGGTTCAGTTGTCTCTGTAGATTTCACCATCATGATCTTGACTTCCCTTGCTCATGTATTCCCTCCTCCCTCTCTTCAACTGGATTCCCTGAACTTTGCCCAGTGACTGGTTGTGGACCTCTGCATCTGGTTCCATCAATTACTGAATGAAGGTTCTGTCGTGACAGTTGGGATATCCACCAGTATGATTACAGGGGAAGGCCAGTCCAGCCATCCTCTCCACTATTGTTAGGAGTCCTAGTTGGGGTCATCCTTGTGGATACCTGGGAGTTTCCCTAGCATCATATTTCTCAATAACCCCATAACGATGCTCTCTCTATCAAGATATCTCTTTCCTTGCTCTCCCACTCTGTCCCTCTCCCAACTCGACCATCCCCTTCCCTCATTTTCTCATCCCCCATCCTTTCCCCTTTATCATCATCCACCCCAGTTTACCCAGGAGATCTCATCTAATTCCCCTTCTTAGGGCAATCCATGCTTCCTTCTTAGGGTCCCTCTGGAGCTGTGGATTGTAGCCTGGTTACCCTTTACTTTACATCTAGTGTCCACCTATGAGTGAGCGCATACCATGTTTGTCTTTCTGAGACTGGGTTACCTCACTCAGGAAGGTTTTTTCTAGTTCCATCCACTTGTCTGCAAATTTCATGGTGTCATGGTTTTTTTTCACAGCTTAGTAATACTCCATTGTGTAAATGTACCACATTTTCTTTATCCATTCTTCAGTTGAGGGGCATCTAGGTTGTTTCCAGTTTCTGGCTATTAAAAATATTGCTGCTATGAACATAGCTGAGCAAATGTCCTTGTGGTATGATTGAGCATCCTTTGGGCATTTGCCCAAGAGTGGTACCTCTGGATCTTGAGGAAGATTGATTCCCAATTTTCTGAGAAACCGCCATACTGATTTCCAAAGTAGCTGCACAAATTTGCACTCCCACCAGTAGTGGAGTTCCCCTTACTCCACATCCCTCCAACATAAGTTGTCCTCAGTATTTTTGATCTTAGCCTTTCTGACAGGTGTAAGATGATATCTCAGAGTCATTTTGTTTGCATTTCCCTGATGATTAAGAATTTTGAACAATTCCTTAAATGTCTTTTGGCCATTTGAGATTCTTCTGGTGAGAATTCTCTGTTTGGCTCTCCACCCCATTTTTAATTGGATTATTTTGTATTTTGATTTCTAGTTTCTTGAGTTCTTTATATATTTTGGAGAACCACCCTCTGTCAGACGATTTTTTTTAGTTAATCTTGTATCCTGCCATTTCACTAAAGGTGTTTATCTGATGTAAGAATTCCCTGGTAGGATTTTTGGGGGTCCCTTATGTATACTATCATATCATCTGTAAATAGTGATACTTTAACTTCTTTCTTTGCATTCTGTATCCCCTTGATATTCTTAGTTGTCTTATTGCTTCACCTAGATCTTCAAGAGCTATATTGAACAGATATGGAGAGAGTGAACATTCTTGTCTTGTTACTGGTTTTAGTGGAATTGCTTTGGGTTTCCATTTAATTTGATGCTGGCTATAGGCGTGTTGTAAATTGCCTTTGTTATGTTTAGGCATGTTTCTTTTATTTCTAATCTCTCCAAGACTTTTATCATGAAGGGGTGTGGGATTTTGTCAAAGGCTTTTCCAGCATCCAATGAGATGATCATGAAGGTTTTTTCTTTCAGTTTTTTTTATATGGTGGATTACATTGACAGATTTTCATATGTTGAACCATCCCTGCATCTCTGGGATGAAGCCACCTTGGTCATGGTAGATGATCTTTTTGTTGTGTTCTTGGATTTGGTTTGCAAGTATTTTACTGAAAATTTTTGCATCTACATTCATGAGGGAAATTGGTTTATAATTCTCTTTCTTTGTTGAATCTTTGTGTGACTTTGAATATCATGGTGAATGTGGCCTCATTAAATAAATTGAACAAGCCGGGCGTTGGTGGCACATGCCTTTAATCCCAGCACTCGGGAGGCAGAGGCAGGCGATCTCTGTGAGTTCGAGGCCAGGCTGGACCGACAGCCTCCAAAACAGAGAAACTCTGTCTCGTAAAAACCAAAAATAAAAAAATGAATTTAACAATATTTCTTTTGTTTCTATTTATTTTAATAATTTGAGGAGTATTGCTGCTAGCTCTTCTTTGAAAGTGTGATAGAATTCTGCACTAAAACCTCCTGGCCCTGGCACTTTTTTTTTTTAGTTTGGAGATTTTTAATGGCTATTTCTATTTCCTTAGGAGTTCTAGATATATTTAAACTGTTTATCTGATTTTGATTTAACTTTGGTAAGTCTGATCTATTGAGAAAATTATCCATTTCTATTTAGATTTTCCAATTTTGTGGAGAAAAAGTTTTTTTAAAATATAACCTAATGATTCCTTGGATTTCCTCAGTATCTGTTGCTATGTCCCCATTTTCAATTCTGATTTTGTTAATTTGGATATTCTCTCTGTATATTTTAGATAGTTTGGATAAAGGTTTTTCTATCTTTTTGATTTTCTTAAAGAACCAACTGTTTGTTTCATTGATTATTTGTATTGTTCTCTTTGTTTCTGTTTTATTGATTTCAGCCCTCTGTTTATTTTCTGCAGTCTAGTCCTCTTGAATGAGATTGGTTCTTTTCGTTTTATTGTTTTTAGGTGTGTTGTTAAGCTGCTAGTGTGGGATCTCTCCAATTCCTTTATGTAAGCATTTTATGTAAGCTATGAACTTTCTTTTTACCACTGCTTTCATTGTGTCCCATAAGCCTAGGCATGTTGTGCATTGGTGTTCATTAAATTCTAGGAAGCCTTTAATTTCTCTCTTATTTCTCCCTGGACTGGGTGTTGGTGAGGATGGAAACAGGAGGGATCAGGTCAGGGGAGGGAGTAGGAACTGGAATTAGGGGGCATTTGAGGTGTGTGTGTGTGTGTGTGTGTGTGTGTGTGTGTGTGTGTGTGTGTAAACCTAGTGCAGTGAAACTCCGTGGAATCTTCTAGTGTGACCCTAGCAAAGACTTCTAGTAATGGGTGATGTGGAGCCTGAACTAGTCATCTTCTATAACTAGGCAAGGCTTCCAGCAGTGGGACTGGTATACCAACCCAGCCACAAAACCTTCTTCAACCTACAGTATGTTCTGTCTGCAAGGTGTGCCGGGGTAATGATGGCACAAAACCTGTGGGAGTGGCCAACCAGTGACTGGTT